AGCAGAAGAATAGAAAGTTGATTAAAATTATTAAAACAAGAAAATATAAAGTATGACGGCCAAGAAGGTGTGGCCTTTTGTGTGGTCGCAATCTCCTTTCGCTATAGAAAAGCAGTTTCACCTTGTTTAGGCAACTTGGCAATATTAGCAGGAAAACCTAGAATAACACACCTAATCCGGAGTCCATAGTATGCATGATCACTTCCAGATTCGGACCGTGGACTTGGCACATTCCCAGACGTTTCGCCGGCATCGTCAGTGAGTATTGCTAGTCTTAGCAACCAAGCCGACCCTTTGACCAATTGTCCGCAAAACCATTGTGGTATCTCGCATTCTTTCATGGACTATTCACCCTTCCTATATTCTCGTATCACGACTTTACTATCACAATTTTTACTTTCTTGCTTACGGACGATGCCGGCGAAACGTCTGGGAATGTACCAAGTCCACGGTCCTACTCTGAAAATGATGATGCATACTATGGAATCGGGACAAGCTGCGTTTATCTATGTCTTCCCACCAATATGACCAGGTTGCGAAAACAAGGTCAAACAACTTCCAAACAAATGTAGTTCTTTTTCGAATGGAAGTGGAGTTTCGAGGCTACCGGTAAATCAGTAGTATGAGATGTATTCACCCAATTTCGTTTAAGGTGATGAATTTTCCCACAATGATATGAATTTCACATTGCCTTGCTTTCTCAAAAGTTGTTCTGATTCAGGTTGGACTGCAGTTTTGAGCTAGCATCTGTCCAGCGGGATTCGAACCGTGACAGTACAGCATGTGAGCTCGACACGTTGACCACTCGGCCACAGGACAGATGTGAATTTGAAGGAAGGCCAGGCCTCTTCGCATATCACATTCTTTGGTGGGATTGCCGATGAAGTAAACGTATTTTTGCTATAACAATCGACTAAGTTACTTATATTTCGTATATAAGTAATGTTTCGATACTGCCAGTGAATCAGTAATATGAGATGGATAAGAACAACTTTTGGGAAAGCAAGACAATGTGAAATCGAATGAAAACGTCAGCTCTACTCATGTCAATGTGGGAAAATTCTACTCCCATCCCTTCATCATCTTCAATGAAATAGGCAGAATAAATCTCATAAATTCAGTTCCATAGAAACTATTGCCTGATTGGCCATTCGAAGGGCTTCTGTCCGTCGTCTGGCGTCCATCTGGGCGAGCAGTTCCCGCCTGGCCGTCTCACGTCGCCTCGTGGCCGGCGACAGAGTGACCATCCTCGGCGTGGATGGGCCGCGAGCTGCGGCTCTCGAGACGGCCGACTTGGCAGAAGTCGACCTCGCCGGAGGTGTCGTCTTGTCGGCCGACAACGTCGACTCCTTCACATGACTCGGCCGTCGACGCCAGGCCGGCAAGTTCGGACGGCTCGGCTCGCCGTCGACGGAGGGACGATGTGTCGTCATGGCGGGACCGTCGAGAGGCAAGTCGAAGCGAAGAGGTTCAGGCGGCGGAGAAGCCCGAACCGGAGCGGAGTCGGCGAGAGTCGGCCGCTCGCAGGAAAGTGCTGCGGAAGCTGATTTTGGGACTGCGGAAAGTGAGCTCTGACCGGCGAGACGGGAGACCTCGAATTCTGCATCCGCCTCCTTCTCCTCGAGGAGACTCATCCGCCCCTCTTCAGCCTCTTCAAGACCCATTCGGCCTGAGCAGGAACAAGGAAAAAAAGAATGCAAACATCCACTTTCACGTAGAAAAGTGATTTTACCTCGTTTTCGCAACATGGTCGTGTAAAAAAGTGGGTTCTGCAGATCATCAGTAAATATTGAGTAAGGACTGATTGCTACATTTTACCTGCCACATATGAATTTCACATAACCTTGGACTGCATTTCCGGCATTTCCTTGCAATCCACTATGCTACTTATATTTCCACAAAGTAGGCTTTAAAGACTATCAGTAAATCCGAAATTAGTATTTCAGTTGGTATGTGAATAGAAATAACGTGATCGAGTTTAATGGCCAAATGAAAGTTATTCGTGGCAGCGTGGCATATTGGTAAGATTTTGAGATTATAAACTGCACTACCACAATCCGGGTTAGATTCATGGCCTCGATTCTGATAGGACAAGTTCAGGAGAGGTCAAAACTGCATACCACTTCTGCTTGAATAGGAGCACCTTTCTGGAAGCTAGTATACGCGAACTGCACTGGAAACGTGAATTCACTTCATACGATGGTGGAAATAGAATCCGAGTCAAAATGCAGACGTGAAGTTCAAGAAAAGTCAAACCGCTTCAATATTCCATTTCAATTTGGCTTTTCGATGGGGCAGACTTGCGCGTTGACATTACAATCGACTACACTACTCATATTCAAAAAGAAGTAGGTTTTGAGACTAACACTATGTATGAAACTCGTTAGTGCATGGCATAGTGTTGACATGCCGAAATCGAAATCGAGTCCCATCAGGGGTGCTGAGAAGAGACTCCAATCCAATCCAACTGGGATAAAATGGTTTATTGTGGGACAAGACTGAGTACAATTCCATGTCGATCTGAGGATTACTGAAATGATTATGGGAAAATACATGATCGAGCCGTCATGACGTTAAACGAGCCAAGATGACTAAACTGCATAATGGTGAGGAGAGTTCATTTGGTATGCGAGATTCGAAGGTCGATCTCCCCAGAAGACGACAGCTGACTCCGGTTGCTACGCGACCGTTTGACTAAAATACAACCTTCAAGTTGGCGCCACCCACGAGACATCCTCGTCCGTTTCGGGTGGAAACGAGCCGAGTTTTCGCCCATCATCAGAGCTGCAATGCATTTTTATAAAAGTCTCACGCTAACACTCGGTCGAGACGGCTATCCGGCTCTATCTTACCTCTTAAATATATTCATAAGTGACAAATGAAAATGAATAGAACTTGTTTGGTCTTGGTTTCGCAACTTGGTCATATTGGCAGCAAGACCGTGAGCAACACACCTAATACGGAGTCCATAGTATGCATGATCATTTCCAGATTGGGACTGCCGACTTGGCACATTCCCAGACGTTTCGCCGGCATCGTCAGTGAGTATCGCAATTCTCAGCAAACCAAGTCAAAACTCGTAAAAAGAGACAAGTGCAGTCAACACCGCGACCAACTTTATGTCGAGACGGTCCTGCTATGCATCCTATGGCCGCCGGATAAGCTGCCTTCCTCTATGTCTTTCGGCTAATATGACCAAGTTGTGAAACCAAGATCAAACAACTTGGATACAACGAAAGGAGACCGCGACCATACAAAAGGCCCCACCATCCTGGTCTTCATACCTCCGAGTAACCTATGAAAATGGACTTCGTCTTAAAGCCAAACGACTGCAGTAAAACACCAATCAGTCGTCCCCTTCTGGTGAGATAGACCTTAGAATCTCTCTTTAATGCACTTTCATACGAGTTGATAGTCTCTCCAACAATGTATTGTCAGGAGTTTAATCGAAACCCAGTTCGTCTTTGTATCTAAAATTCATATTCACAATGTACTGATCGCCTCGAAGGTCTACTAGTTACGAATACAAATTCCCAAGTAATAACATCTGTTCACAGTCATTGAGGTTTAATGATAGTTTTCTTACAAAATAAGACAACTTTTATGGTACACACTCCCAGAACCAGATTCACCGACCATACACAACTTGAATTTTGTATAGAAGTTGTTTGACCTTGTTTTCGCAACTTGGTCATGTTGGTAGGAAAACTTGGAGGAACACACCTTGTCCTGAGTCCATTGTATGCATCATCATTTCTAAAGTAGGACCGTGGGCGTGGCACATTTCCAGACATTTTGTCAGCATCTTGAGTAAGTTTTGCCATTCGTAACACCATATTACAACTTGTCCCTTTGTAACTTGTGACTTTGTGAGTTGTCTCTTTGACGAGTTGTAATATGGTACTACGAATGGCGAGAGTCACTGAAGATGCCGGCGAAATGTCTGGAAATGTACCACGGCCACGGTCCTACTCTGGAAATTATAATGCATACAATGGACTCAGGACAAGGTCTGTTTCTCTAAGTCTTCCTACCAGCATAAACAAGTTGCGAAAACAAAATCAAACAACTTGTATACAACGAAAGGAGACTGCGGCCAGACAAAAGGCCACACCATCTTGGTCTTCATATCTTTGAATTTTGTATGTTTGTATGAAAACCAGGGTTTCGAATCTCGTATGACATGACGAAAAGATGGCGAAACGAGGTAAATTCTACACTCTCGGTTAGAGATAAGGATGACTTAAGGGTGAAGTCTATTGTGTCTGGTATTGGCCTCAGTCTTTGATATGAGAATTCCTTGTGAAATTGGGTAATTCTTGAATAAGAAATA